CCACACCTTTTAAACAATAGGACCCTATCAGGTGACCATATCAGTTACCACTGAATCGAAATGTACCTGTGGACGTTAAAGCACAGTCCCACAACTGCGGTTAAAGCTATCAAATTTGCTCAATCTTAACTACTTACATACAAAAGGTGGAAATAAATGCTATGTTCACGTTACGGCGCATGCTGAAACTTTTCATGTTTGGAGAGAGATTACAGCTGCAGTTGCGTTCACGTCAGTCGGTACCCACATCGGGACCCACTCGGCTTATGCCGAACTCACGCCCCCATTTGTCATATTAATATTTGACCCAAACATGGAAAACAATACGCATATGATGATAATAATAATTATAACCATTTGCTGTTATGGTATTATTTATGAGTCAATGTGGACATGAACGGCTCTGAGATTCGAAAAACAATTATTTTTTAGCATTGCAGGAGGAAAAAAGCTTGCAGCAGCATAAAAATATGTGTCGCCGACGACGGTTTGCATTCATTTCATTCATGGAAATTAGAAATTAACATTACTAAATCAAATGTCATAATATTCAATAAAGCGGGTAAACGTCTATTAAACGAACTTTAAATTTTATATCAAGAATGAAGAGTTAGAAAAAGTAACTTTTTACACTTATCTTGGGATAAACTTAAATATAATAGGTAGATTAGATAGAGCACAACCAGACATGAAAGTCTAGTGTGGTTCAAATATTAGATGAATTAAAACTTATTATCTGGAAAAACAAAAAGCTAAAACACAGTGAAGCCTTAATAAAAGACGTTTGTGAAAAACTTGAAATACAGTGTCGAAAAAGATGTAAGGAATTTATCATGCACAACAACGACAAAGGCACAAACCATAACAATAAACTGAAAATGTACAGAAAATTAAAAACAGATTTTTCACTAGAAAAATACTTGCAAATAATAAAAAAAAAACTGCTATATCGCTCTAAGTGCCCATCGCTTACATATTGATTCTATTCTATTCTATTCTATTCTAT